AACATTTTTTTGGCTTCTTTACTAGATTTACTAATAACGGTATATTAGCTGTAATTTAAGATTGCAATTCGGAACTATTTCAGACCATTCGAGTAAATAATTCCATAGAAAACAATGATTTGTTGGATATCAAAAAATATTTACATTCGCTGTGTTTTTCTACTAAGCCAACTGTGAAATTGATTTGAATATCATTTTCGTGTATACTCACGCGTAGAAATATACACGGAGAAACGTGCGTTGACGTGACGTCACAATAGAGCTACAGAAACGTTAGTAAAAGTATAACAATATAGGGCAGCGATAAATTTAAATATTGAGTATATTTTCGGTGCTTCCAAACATGTAAGATGTAAATATTAGGAATGTTTTTAAGTTACTTGTGAATTATTGGTGTGAGAATCACACAGACTTGCACGTAGGGATATTTTTCATGAAGCGCTACCGCGCTTCATGAAATATGCCTACGTGACAAGTCTGTATGCTTCACACACCAATAACTCACACAAACCTTAAAAACATTCCTTAAATAAACTTTGAAAAATTGGGATAACATATAAAGATAAAGTTCTTTGTTTAACTTTCCCTTCGGGAACTGTTTACTCACTTAGAGACGCCACCACTTGCAAGTGGAGGGCTGCAAAGTGGCTCTTAAATTGCTCTTAAAGGTAGTGAGTTTTCTTTTTCGTTCCTGTACCAACTACAACTCGACACTTTACGTCAGTTCATACGGTCTTTTCCTAAAGACCAATCTCTTCGAACCGCAGTGGGATTCGAAGCCATAACTTAAGGATCAATTCCTTGCTCCGCGATCCCAGAAAACTTTCTAACCAATGTGTTACACAAAAGGAAATAGCAATTAAGAGAAGAAATAAAGATTTATTATATATGATGCTTAAGTTTCTCATTATAAACATCTATGTGCTTTCGTAAAGAGAAGAAATAAAGTTTTATAAAAAATGCTCAGGTTTCTCATTATCGACATCTGTGTGGTTTTCGTAAACGAAGTCTTCCGAAAATTAATTGAAATTTCTATGGTCGATACGATGGACTATTTTGCAAATACAATTTGTCCTTAGGTCGAATATTTACTGAATGATTTTTTGACACAAATTGATAATCCCTTTGTTACTCAGTTATTTACGGATTTATCTTTTACAATATCATAAGAAAGAGTAAAACGCGGATGTAATCGGTTGTCAGGGGATGTTCATTCCTTAATGACATCTGATTCTCTCTCTTACCAGAGGTCTGTTTTGTCATTGCTTCAATGGACTTTTGTCCGTGTTCACTCTTTGTCTTTTTTAGAGGGTATACTTTTAAGTAATTGACTGTCTGTTTATTCGTTGTTTTTACGTCTTCTGCGAGATTATTTTACATACCAATGAAGACCTAAACTTGGCCCTTAGCTTCTCTTAGAAGCAAAGGTTCGCAATATCGTGCTAAGGACTCACTAATACAAGGAAATTAAAAAAGTAAAAAGTTCAATACTACCACGGGGATAACTTATCTTGGTAAAAATTAACATAATTTTGTAATAAATCTCTCCGTCATGAAGAGTGCAGCTAGAATACTGATTCTTGTCGCAGAAAAAATTAATCCACATTTTTGCACAAAACTTTTATCATTTTTTTTTTAAACATTTGGTACATACAATCGAATAATTTTCAACTCAACAATTCATGTCAATAAAACGATTCTTGAAACACTAGTACTACAGACTACAAATTTGCATAAAAACACAAGTTATGTTTCAACGTATGTAGCATAAATCGGAACTTTTTCATCTTTTTGTTCAGAAGGACAGAGAAAGGGTTAATCGGAATTGTATATTTTCATTATAGCAAAGATAATAAAAATAAATCAGCGTACCTTATTCTTAAGGTAGACCCTATGTGGGAAAAGTCTTTGTAACAAAATTTGCAAACTTTTTGAAATGATAAATTAGCACTCGCTTATCAAAAAGTAAAAGCTCATGACATGTTTCCTTGTTATTAAGTGTAATGCAGCCTGTGAAACTTGGGATGGAAGTTATATACTGCGACTTCACCACTTCAGTAATTTTTAGATGTACTTATAATAGAAAGAATATGAAAAAAAAAACTTCTTTAAACATTCATTTGTCATTGATAGACTCTATCAACTGAACAGATAAAAGCAATATTACTCAAGAATGATACTTTTCTTATTCAATTGACATAAAAGATGATGTCCCCATTTTAAAAAAAAATATCGGCAAATGAACTCTATTTTTTTTTTGCCCATTTTCCACCCCAAATTTGTAAATATTTTGAGAAGTCTTTGTCAGAATGTTTTCATTCTTTAATATGAAAAGAACATACCAAAATCATTACAAAAAGTGATTAAATATATAATTTCCCCTGCAAACTAATGAGAGATAGGTTATTTACCAATGCTACTTTTCTTGATCTTTTTGCTCTTACATAGGATTTAATTATTGTTTGGGGATTACGCTCAGATTTAGAATAAGAATATTTATAAAGAACTGTTTTTTTTATTTTATAAAGATCATATTTTAGAGAAAAACTGTTAAAAACAACAATCATTAAAAATACACGTGAATAATTAACAAATAATTATGAACAGAAATGCACATCATTTCATAACAGACATCACAAAATGTACACACAATCTTTAACACATCTTTGACTTGGACATATTTCGTCAAGATATTATACTATTTTGTCTTTAACTGAAGATTTTTTTTAGGATTTTTGCATTCCTTCAAAATAGTCGCATGCCTTCTCAGAAGATTTGGACACGTTTAAAAACTTGTTATTAATTACTTATAAATACATGTGAGATGGACAATTAAATATTAGATAAAATGTATTCGGAGATAAATACTGCACTAACTGGTCGCTGTAGATTTTCGTTAAAAGTACGCAAGGTGTAAATCGGCTTGAAAGGCGGTTACGCTTCGAATTCGTAAGGCTAAGAATTTTATTTCGAAGGGAATATTTTGTTGAAGGCTGCTTGTGATCAGAAATACTGAATAGATTTTTGTCTGGGAATATTTTATATGTGGCACGATAAAGATCCCTCCCTGCTCAAAGGCCGTAAGTGCCAAGCATAGACCTAAATTTGCAGCCCTTCACCGGCAATGGTGACGTCTCCATATCAGTGAAATATTCTGGAGAGGGACGTGAAACAGTATACAATCATTATGTAGCCAGTGGTAGTACATCAGAAATGAAAACATCTGGTATGGGTTCAATAATTTATTTACGATGATATAAACCTCAAAAAAACCTGTAATATTACAATTACACACAACATATAGACGACAAATACACAGACATTTGGACAGATAATTAAAACATAATAGACTTTACTTTAGAATAGAATCTTACCGGGACACACACGGGAATTCACAAATATTACTATCTGTATATTAATGATAATAGTACTCTATTATCATTAATATACAGATAGTAATATTTGTGACATCTAACCAGTTCAACGGCTAGGCTCAGAGTGCCCGATGTTAGTTCGTGCAAGCGGGAATTCAGTGAATGGGATAAAGTCATGTGACTGTCCGTCTAGTGTTTAAAAATAACAACAACCTCATTCACACAAAGTCTTTCATACCAGCCCGTTATGCTAAAATTATCCCATGTTTCCCACTATTGTTGATGTCCCTGGCATACTCTCAAAACTAGACAATGATTCCTTATATTTCCATTTCATTGTGAAATAAAATTGTAGACTTAGACATTAAGAATGTAGACTAGTCGATTTAAATTACACGAGGACTTCCATGCCAATTTCAATAGTCCTCGCACACTGACGTCAAACACAAAGGCAGCCGCACGAGATTTACATGCATATTTGGCCTCCTAGCGTCAGACACAGAGACAGATGCGCACGAGATTTGCATGCGTATTAGGCCTCCTTAGCTGCTGACCTATCGATCTGCCTAATTTACATTCCGGGAGAATTATCAGGAAATCAACTCCGCTTACTTTCAAAGGGTTATTATAGAAATGGAAATATAACGGTGTATCTCAAGGGTAATAACTCTTACATTTGGTTTTAAAGACAAGTTAAGAAGGATACTCTTATACATACTCAGTGATATACTTCCATGTAAATTTATCAACTATTACTTTCTTGGTTACAATCCTTTATACAGATGGCATATGTTTTAGTGCATTTCACAAATTTAAATTGCATTGGCATTGCCAAATTGCTTGTCCGAATTGCCGCTCTTTATTTGTGTTGCATTATGTATCAAGAAGTATTTTCGTTTGCAGTAGTTGTTATCTTATTTACATTACAGATAATTGTTTGATGTCAATGTAGAATTTGATGACAATATAACATACTCATTTACAAGAATTTTTCTTCTCCAGACATTGATCATTGAAATGTTTCAAAGATGTTTTATAGGTTAGGAAAACTTTGAACATGATGTAAATTTAATATGTTCTAAACATTTGCAGATTAATTTAAATATATGACATTTATTAACACTTGTATTACAAATATGTTCAATATAAATGATGCTAATTTAAACAGAAAACATTAGTTTTAAACAGATATGGGATGATCGCTATGTGTTTTGTCCGTTTTTAAAGTAAACATACCTTTTCAATTTTATCCTTCAGGCTATACCTTGACCATCAGAACCTCACTCAGAAAATTATATGAAAGCTATGAATACTTTCTTAAAAAATACTACTAAAAGTCTTAAAAAACGAATTAGCAAACATAAAAAAAATTAATCTTCTGTAAGGGTAAAAGAATATGAACCTTCTCCATTTGTACTCTATGTTTGAGTGCTTATTTTCATGAGTATAAATCTTCATTTGTAGAAGAAAAAAAAAATGTTTTACGTGCTTCTGTTCAAAGTGACTCCTTTATAGTAAGTAGAAGCTTTTCAAAACTTGAAAGACATGTTCTTGAAAGCAATTGTGTTGAAAATTGTTCCTGATTGCATAAAGCCTTATATTATATTACAAGTGTTATGGTTCAGTTAGTAACATTAAAAGCAAGAGATAGATAGCCAGCGTATGGAATTAATTTAATTCTACAGGTAGGATTTTTGTTTGCATTTAATTTAAAAATATTACGTGAAATGTTAAGCAGAAATTGTCTTTTAAACAATTGATATCCTCATCAAATTTTAAAAAGTGTAAATAATCTTTTTCCCCCTTTTTTAACGTCAGTATTTGCACCATTTCATGTGCATTTAAAGCAACGTTAGTGTTGCTCAAGTAAACATTATTATGTAGGAAAACAAAGTGTCCTCTCTTCATATTAATTCAGAGTTGTAGTGTTTTATTACAAAAGGGGGATGTTTTCTAAACAAGATCGAGAAACAGAATATATTCAGTCAAAAATTGTAAATTCTTTTAATATTCAGTATGGTTATAGGTTTACTTTAAAATAATTGAACCAATAAATATTATTAATAAAATACTTGTCACATTATAACATAGCAAAACTATACAGATATCCCAGAAAATTATAGAACCTCCCATCAACTAGAAAAATCTCTTTTGAATCCAAGGACGAAAAATTATATTTAAAATTGATGTTCACAATAATCTCAGAAAATGTGTAACTATTTTCTATTGATGTCATTTTTCTATGTACTTACATAAAAAATGTTTAAATAAGTTTTAAATTTTTTTTCCAATTCTATTTTGTCGCCTGCCTTACGCATCAAGTGGAAAAACGGAAAAGAATATGGAGATGGAGTGTTTTGACAACTTATTTCTTACTGCAAGTAAACCACTTAAAAACAGTTAAGAGTGGTTCCGTGCTCGTTGCAATTTCCACTTATAACATTTTTCTTTTATTTTCGTGATATCTTGAAAACAGTTTGGTGACTTCCTCAACAAACCAAAAGGCTACCTAAAAATAGAATCATAAATTACATAGTTTAATTATAAATAAAAGATCTGAAAATTGGAATGTGCAAGTCAACAGGGGACGTTTTCTCTTCCTAGGCACCTAACCTTTAGAATTTCCATTGTCATTGATTGTACATTCTTGCAAAATTTCGAAAGGATCTTTGAGAAAATTGTATTAACTATATGTAATACCTAAAAAAGCAAGCATAATTAAACCTGATATATTGCAACAAATTAAGAACAAGGTACGCGTGATGCGTTAAGGCTACAATAATAAGGCTATGCCGAATCTATACGGGAATGACCGTGACATTACACAAAAACGTCGTTTCTTCACATTACAACAAAATAAAAAATCGGTAGACATGTTTTTGAAAGTAAATATGGTAAAGAATTCTCCTGAACACATTTGTTAATCTATTTTTATTTCATTACAAGTGTCGTCAACGTGTTAGTATCTGGAAGACTTATGTAGTAGTGTTAGCGTATGGAATAAATTTAACTCGACGATTAGATTTTCGTTTGCATTTAATAAAAAAATAATACGAGAAGCTCTATAATATTTAGAGATATCACTTACAGTAATTGTTAAGCATAAAATCTTTTAAACAAATGTTTTCATTATCCAATTTCAAATAGTTTGAAACATTTTTAAATAGCTTAATGATTTTTATTTCTAAAACAATAGATTTTTCAACATTTCATGTCACTCAAGAATTATACGTATCAAATGCCGTGTGTTACATATAAAGAAAATAGTTTGCTTGAATAATCCGTGTTTGAAATACAGCTGTATATACACCTGAAAAAAGTCTGATTTTCCGCCTGGCGATATCAAAACATAAACTTTCTTCATAGAAATTCAGAAGCGTAGCAAGATATCACAAAAAAGGGAGGGGGTGTTGCTCTATCATATTCAGTTTAAAAAAAATACTTGTATTTATCAATACGAAAGTATATGTTTGATATTTTGTAACCAATAAAGAGTATGAATAAATCACTTTTAACATTGAAACTTAACAAAACTACACATATTTCCCGAAAAATTGTAGATCCTCCGTTAAATAGAAAACCTATTCTGATTCCAATTTAAGGATTAATTCCCATGGGGAAAAGGTGGAGATATACAATGATGGGAATTTTTAGCTTGTCTTGAAGATGTGATTTTCCTTTAAATATACTAAATTGCTGAAATGGTTTTCAAAAAATCATTAAATTCCATTTCCTTGCTTATCAAAGGCATTGAGTAGAGAAATGAAAAAGTGTATCTAGCTTTGATGGCTTATTTGTTGAAAGAGTAGCCCGTCCTTGGCAATTTAATCTTTTTGTCAATTTATTTCTTATTGCAGGTAAACCGCACTTGTAACTGCATATTCACGATCATTTGTAGTTAAGAAATTGAAAGAACTATTGTGTTGCTTTTCACTCTCTAAGGATCACTTCATTATAAATAGGTATATGACCTATAGGACCGGACTTGGTTTTTTTCTCTACAAAAAGCTTGTCGATTTCCGTTCCGATTAATGACATTAGGCTAAATACATATAATATATATGTTTTTCCTGAATTTTTATTTCGGTTAGTAAAGGTAAGAGGAACCTTTTCATTGATTTTCTGAGTTTGTTATCTCCATATGTACTAATTGATATTTGTCTTTACTTCTCATGGTTCATAAAGGTAGTGTCTACTGTCTGAAATTCTGTTCTTTATGTCTAGGCTATTTATCCGTGGATATAATGAAACATGTCATTGATATGTACAAATTATATAAGCCTAAATGAAATCCAAGGAAGTGCTTTTACTGAAATATGTAGCCAAAATCAATGTGATTTAATTATAAGGAATATAATACAATTGAAATTCATTACAGCTTAATGCTGCCAAGAATACCTGTATTAAGTAACACAGAGTGAGTTATTCTTGTCTTCGAAGAAAGTGTGCTTATACTGAGGTTCGTTCCGCCTGACTGAGAACTGTACATTGGATTTTTACATTTTGATATCTCTTTAGTGTTTCTTATATATCAAGAATGGGCATGCATAAAGGATATATAATTGAAGGAAAAATACACAAATCTATATAAAAAATCTAAATAGTCTTTGAAAAGGCGAAATTTAAAAGTGTTGTACCAGGTGGATTCGAACCCCCGACTTTAAAAAGAAAGTATCCAAGGTGCAAAAGTCAGCGCTTATACCAACTGAGCTAGTCTGACTATAAGAATGTGTGGCATAAATTTCAAGCAGGTGATGAAAATCAGGTTTCCTTATTTTTTGTAGGTTTTTTGTAAATTTCGACCCCAGGGCAGGGGTGCCCCTAAAAAAATCTTATCTTAATTTATTCCTTACATCCTAACCTATCAAAATATCACAATTTTATTTAGGGGCAGGCCTGCCCTGAAGGACTTCAAGGCCAAAATTCATGCAAAAATCAATGCTTTTATGGACAAAATGGTGTTTCTGTTAACTTTGGAGGCTTATTGTAAAGTTGTAAATAATAAATTTGAGGTATCAAATACAAATTTGAAAAAATTAGACATATATACGGTAGAAAACGACAAAGAAAGACTGATTTTTAAATGTCGTTTTCTCCGGGAAATTTTTCTCTCCTATAGGTCAACTCTTTTGTTAAAGCGAATACATCCCTTGTTAAGATTATGATTTGTTTAAATGTAATGGATGATTGAAAACTAATGAAAAAAAAAATAGTCTTTTTCAAAGAGTTTATTTTAAGTTCTGAAAGTGATATATAATACAGATGCTGATCATATAGTGGACCCTGATGGTATAGTATCTCTATTAGAATGTCGTTTCGAAGAGCCCCGCTCCAGGGAGTGCAGAGTGCCGCTCCGACAAGTCCCATACAGAGATCATATTCATATAATGTACAATACGTAATACTCATTTACATATGGAACAAACAAGTCAGATTTGAGTAAACAAGTTAAACAATGAATATATGACAAAATCCTGGAATTTTATAAAATAAATTGTAATTTAAACATAAACTATAAAAAGTTTCAGTTCTATGTCCCGGTATTGTGCAAAGGTTAGTATAATGTTAAGATAAGTTTTAGCAATGTTCCATTAAGCATCCTTTCTCGCCGTCCAGAGATAGATAAACATCCCGGTAGCTTACACTGTTCTTAATCCGATTAAGGTATGTAACAGGTTTGTTTATCCAGACAGAAAAGAATAACACTTTCATATCCCAATTGTATTATAGGGCAATGTACTCGATCATTCATACAATTGTAAATTGAACTTGGTTAATAATTTTCATTTTCTTGATTAAAATAATTGTGTCAAACCCGATAGGTTTATATGATTAAAAAAATGTTATTAATGAATGACACCCAAAATAATTTGATTTTGTTTAGCCGAGAATTCTCCTGAGAGACACTCGACGTATCTTTATTAAGCTGAAATTCATTATTTTATTATTCTAATGTTTCTTCTGGTTAACAAATTCTCTCAAAGAGATATCAACGTCAAAGATACATTCTTCTGAAACTTCGAATGATATTCGGATATTTGCTGTATCCAAAATAAGTCTCAAAATATATACCAAACCCTGCTTCCTTTTATTTTGTTTGAAAGTATATCCTTAAAACTAAGAATTGGTGTTCTGATTCATTGAATACTTTTGTGAAATTACTCAGAATACATTCGGATGTCATTTTTTATTAACTGCATTTCATTTCGAGATTAACTTTGTTTCCAAGAGTTAAATATACAATGACATTTTACATAAATTAAAACGAGATGGAAATTTTATTTAGAAATACTTTTTCGCGCCTGTTTTTATTTAGTTATTTATTCTTATTAATAACAGCGCGTGAACGTAGATGTTTTAGATTTCACATATTGCAATTGTCATGCTTATCTACAATTCATGTCGTTTTAGAGTGCCCTGGTTTAGAATAATATTTCGTTGAAATGGGGAACCACAAAACATTTTGGCCTTGGATGCTTCTTCTAATGATATCTATGACGGTTTCTGGTGAGTTTTCTGTCACAAAATATTCTTCTAGACGAGAGGAATTGAGTCTTCTCAAAAATCTTTTAAAAGTTTTGGAGCAACTTGTGAAAGACCAGTCCACCAAAATGGAAAAAATCGGAGGAGAACTTCATGCTATAAATAAGAAAATGCCAAATGGTAAGTTCCTTATAGTGAAAGCTGTTTCCTGTCAAAATTGCACCTTTCTTAGCATAATTAAAAAAGAATTGTTCGAAAATTTCGCCGACTACCGACATATTTTCTTTAAAATTTACTTCATATTATGTGAATATCCAATAATACGCTCGAATGACGTGTATTTAAAATTTTGTTAAAATATCGTGATTCATTTCAAATCGGATTGCAGAGAAGATCTAAATTAAGATATTTACAATTAATAAACCAAATAATATCTTTTGTCTTATACTCTCTAAAATGGCACACAGAAGCGGGAAAATCTTAGACTATCACAATATTTTTTTTAACATTGTTGCATATTTTAAATTATCACGCAATACTTCGGTGAAAAAAAAATCAATTTAAGAAGACATATAGTCCTTATTGGAAAAAAGGATGACGTCATAGAGCGTCTCAGAGCCGCAGTTAACGGGAAAATGTGTTATATGTTGACAAACTCCAGGATAGAACTCTGCAAATGCTGAAAAAGCGGTGAATATGTCAAATGCGAGCCATGCATATGTGTGTACAAACCACAGGCAAATTTTGAATGATAGATGCTCTGTATCAGACCTGGACAATCTTTGAGAAACGGATTATCTATACCATTTTTTTAATTAGTAATGGATAACGCGCTTCACAGTTGCCGATACTTACGCAGTAGAAAATATAAGATCCAGAAACATCCAAAAACTTAACTATGCTACATGTACTTGAAAATTGTTAGCAATTTACATTTCAAAAGATATAGAAATGATTTATGGGGGCATTTGTATTGGGCCATAGTAGTGAAATGTATTGATAGAGTGTTTTTGAGAAGCTTATGACACTATGTTTTTGACTTTTCTATGTTTTTAATTTTGGACCGTTGTTAAAAAAAATGTTGATTTTTTTTTAACTTGAATTACTTGACTTTTTTTAGTCACATAGAAAGATATTTAAACATCAATAAAATAAATATTTTTACAGAAAACAATGAGTCCTTTTAAAATTCATTGAAGAAACATGTAGTTTAACGAAGATTAACATGGTCGGCGAGCTTTTAGAACTAACCTTTCAGTACAAACATTACAGTCTATATACCAACTTTCATGTGTACAATGAAATAATGAACAAAGTGTTTTAATCAAAATGTAAAAATATATACATTTGAACTGCTTATTTTCAATGCTCGGGAATTAACTAACGTCATTACAATCGAATTTCTCATCACTGTATTTTTGAAAATCTGAAACGATTTTAAATATGTTTATTTAAGATATTGGAGGTAACAAAAAAGACATTATGGATAACATTTCCAGCGTTCCAATCGAAATCAAACGACAGGATGCAGCCATTATAAACCTTGAAATAAAGCAACAGTTATTTGAAAGCAATTTGAAAGGTATGAATAATAACAATCTTTATTTAATTCATAATTTTCCTAATTTGATACCTGCTTGTGGGGTTTGTGTCTCTCTGTTGATTCGATAAACAGGAACGTGTTCTGCATAAAGTGGGTGGTACAGTCTGTTGGCAAACAGGTAAATCGAATTACTGCTTAAATACGTTTTTATGTAATGGCCTAACTATTTGTATGAAAAACGTAAGTCATTTTATGATACGTTATATTTCCTGAAAAAATCACTGTGTTGAACATAAAACTTGCATAATAAAGACTTCAAACGACACTGTCTCATAAAATGACTTACGTTTTTCATACAAATAGTAAGGCCATTACTTAAAAACGTATTTTTTACGGATCCTCTCTTTTTTTCTGATCATGAAAATAAGCACACGGCGGGTATGACGGGTCGGCAGCAGATGGTTATTTTTCCGTGGCATCTGATCTTACCTCTAATAATGAAGAGGCTCGTGTTTGCTCTGCTTTTGATCTGTGTTGTTTTGGTAGACTTTTAAGCTTGATTATCTCTTAAATCAATGATTTTTTTTCCTCTTCTAAGGACAATGGCATATAAATCTGAAAAGTCTTTTGGTTTATAATAAGTTCAATTGTTTTTTAAGGTCAGTCATCTAAATTCGAGACAATGATCTTATCATTTATAATTTCAAAGGAAAATATATCTTTGATTTTCATTAAGAATTTGATAATTGTCAGTGTACCTCATTTATCATTTTGCAAAAAGAATATAGTTATATATAAACACATTGATCAAGGAAATTATATTCATTTTAGATATTGTAAGAGAAAGCAAAGAAATAGCAAGTAATGTAACCAGTATTGCAGTAGAAAACGAAATACAAAATGCAAGCATTACCCAACATGAAGAAAAACAAGAATCGTTGGAGAGAAAATTGAAAGGTAAGTAAACATCATTTTCAATACAAATTATCAAATATAATATAATATAGTATAATATGTTTTCATTGTTACGCTGTAGATATAGACCCAGTTGTAAATGTCAGAATCGATATCCTATAAATAACTGTATTTCAACAAAGCGTGTATGTTATATTAGGCAATTTCGATAAATGTCTAAAAATTGGCACTTGAACATGCAACACATAACATATTCTAACGGAGTTTCTTCTAAAATATACAACAGATGGTTTTACGTTATTGTGTTGATATATGGAAAACGTTTTCTTTCTTCATACCCTTTCAAACAAACAATGCGACTCAAAACGTAAAGAAATAAAATGATGTACTAGTACTTGAATTATGCAACAAAAAAATCAACAATGTGCATACACCGTTGGAACATGATATGGTAAAGTTTTTGTTTTCTTTTTACAGATCTTGAAAGTGAAAGCAAAGAAATAGCAAGTAATGTAACCAGTATTGCAGTCGAAAACGAAATACAAAATGCAAGTATTACCCAACATGAAGAAAAGCAACAATCGTTGGAGAGAAAATTGAATGGTAGGTAAACATAATTCTCAATACAATCTATCAAATGTCTATAATAATAATATAATACGAGGGTTGTCCCAGAAAATCGCAATTTTTTTTAATATTTTAAATACTATTTAACAAAAACTAGTAATTTTTGGAATGGTGTTGGGAAGTCATCTTTTAGATGTTCTGACAAAATATTAAAGGCATGTGATGTCATATGCATATAAGTTTACATTTAAATGAAATTAGACTTCGGCGGTCGGCGCACGACAATTTTTTGACTTTTACAAGTAGTATTGCGATTGACGTTTTCGTTGTTATCAGCCTATATGGCAATATAATATCAAAAATTTTACTATCGTAAATACTCTATGATTTGATGTACTTGCGTTTGAAGGATCGTTCTCTATAAGGCCATTTTTCGGCCTAGGATGACTTCAAATTTTCAGATAGTATTTTTCCCCTTAAAAATTGCATGAATCACTAGGCGTACGTTCCAAGTTAATGGTAAATATTGGTTGGGTCACAAAGTAAGGTACTATTGGTCCGTATTAGCATTAGAGTAATGGGAAAACTCAAGAGGGTGGCTGTGTTAGATAAGTCCTACGCATGTCATAACCACCTTTAACCAACACCAAAATTTGCATGTAAATTTCTTACAAACATAAAAAGTGACTACCAAATTATGAATTTGGTTAAAGGTGGTTAAGACACCTAAATAAAAACTTTTCACTTTATTTTTACGACATCTGCCGAAAAAGCTAACGACTCACAATGAAGGATATCAACTTATGTAGATTATCTATTTTATAAATTTTTGGTTAGAGTACAATTTTCTGTTGATTTACATGTACTAAGATTTATATCAGCGATGCATATTTACTTAAAAAAGTGAACTTTTTACTACAAAATCTAAAAATCAAAGGACTGAGAAGACTGGATGTCATGAAATAACAAGTGGTGACGTTTCTTTGATATGTCTGATAAAAATTAAGAAATAAAAACTTTTAATAAAATATAAGTGTGAATATGAGTTATCTTTTATATTTATAATGATAGTTTAGTATATCTATATATGCTACGTCTTTGTATTTCGTTATGAGTACTTCATATATTGTTTGTTTTTCCTTATGAGTACTGTATATGTTCTAGAAATGAAGACTTTTTCCTATGGGCACACACATAATGTTTGCTTCCGTACAAGTATCATGTGATCCATATTTTGTAACCTGGGTCTAAATATTGAGAGGACTCAATCTATTTATCACACTTCTTTGATATCATCGATATAAATTAAGATAACTTAAGTCCTGTCTTAAAAAATAAACTGGTAAAGACGAGAGGGACTCCTAAATATGTGATCGATATATTTGAATGTTGCTTTACCTCATTTAAGGATTTTTCAAACAGATAAAGAAATCATCCACTTAAGGTCAAGAGTTTATAAATGCATAGTTGTATTAATAACCAAAGTCAAATGCGGGACGGGACCTTTTTTGTAAAAAGATAATATCCAAAAGACCGATGGCATTTACTTTTAATGCTAAAGACTAAAGGTATGGAACTGTCACTATTCGTGCTAAACAAGTTTTTGACGCTGCACTGGGAAAAAGACTGAATTTAACCTACAGGTTTCAAGAGTGGGAAAGGAGCCTAAAACCTCAAGGGTCCATTTTGTACCTGGAATATTGTAGAACTCTTAAGTCCGTGTACTAGTATATAAGAAAACTTCAGAATTTGATCTGTATATTTGAAGGAACTGTTAAAATTCTGCTCCATTTTATGTTGTGTCGTTGGACACGGGGAGGGTGTGGGGGTCTCAACTTTTTTTTTACTTGTAAATACATAAAATTTAGATGGCATTTTTAATTGAATATAATGGCAACACGTGTAATTAGATTAAAGCAAAGCCATTTTATAACGTTTTTTAATTTAACTTAGAGATTATATTAGAGAACTTATATTTTAATGCAACCGCACTGAGTTATAATGTATTGACTATTTACATGTATATGGATAGTCAACATGTACTTGCATTGATATTCTTATGCTGTTAATTGTTTATTTTTTGGAAATTGTTGAATTTCTTTTCTTAATTACTACTTCAGTTTTATTTAATCACAATCAATATCCATTCAGTGCTTTCAACATTTGATTCTCAACTTTCAGTGTTCAATAGAAAATTAGAAACCTCATTGAGCGGGATATGACTCCTGCATAAAGAAAAAAATGTTAACGATGAAAGAACACAAACATATGGGGAACAGGTTTATATCTAATAGAAGAGATTTTAGGTTGACTTGACTGGTTTTCTGATAGAAGAGAATAGACATGTGCACATAAATAAAAACCAACTGAAAAGACAAGAGTGGGACGTCATAGGCCTACGTGAGGACCGCTGTTAAATAATTTGACCAGGTAGCTTTATGATTGTCAAATTGTCTATTGACAGAATTAAACCCCCCAATCTTTCAGTAACACTAGTATTTTAGATGCATAACTTGGTAATTAAAAATAATGAAACACATTGCAGAATGTGTGCTCAAAATGAATATTTATAGAGGCGAACTTTTCGTAACAAATTCGTAAACACTATGAGATAGGTTTTGACGTCTTCAGTGTTACGCTGACAGCTAATTTGATAGATTCCTTTACATAAGAGAAACATTTTATTTATAGAGATTTTTTTTGAAATTTTTAGGCTTTATTCAAAAAATGTTGATCATGATACATGAATATGCCAATTTTTAACTTTATTGTCCTAGTAAAACAAAAGATATTAAAAATGTTCGCTTTTTTCTGGGACAACCATCGTATGTTTTTATTGTTACACTATAGATATAGACCCAGTTGTAAATGTCAAAATCAATATCTTATAAATAACTGTATTTCAACAAAACGTGTTATTATAGGCAATTTCGATAAATGTCTAGAAATTGGCACTTTTACATCCAACACATGCATTTTCTTACGGAATTTCTTCTAAAATATACAACAGATGGTTTTACGTTATTGTGTTTTATATGGAAAACGTTTTCTGTCCTCATACCTTTTCAAACAAACAATGCGACTCAAAACGTAAAGAAATAAAATGATGTACTAGTACTTGAATTATGCAACAAATAAAAATCAACAATGTGCATACACCGTTGGAACATGATATGGTAAAGTTTTTGTTTTCTTTTTTTTTGAGATCTTGAGAGTGAAAGCAAAGAGATTATGAATAACATAAGAAGTCTCAAAACCAAAAGTGAAAGACAAGATGCGACCATTGCACAATATTATGTGAAGCAACTGTCACTGGAGAGAGAATTGATTGGCAAGTTGGAAATGATTTATAATAAATTAATACATATTTTTCACAAAATTCAGGCGCTAAAATTTTTAATGATAAATTGCCTGGTAATGCAAAGGGTCTACAAAGTCTAGCAAAATACTTATTTCTTACAAAAAATGAACAACATTGATATCTCCTAAAAAAATGTTTATATTTATTTTGCACAAAAACATGGGATGTTTCTCTACTTATTTCTTAGTACATTTAGTAGGTATAAATCTGCAGTTGATTATTGCAATAATGTGCATCATATGTGGATTCTCGAAAAAAAGGAAAGAACTTTCTAAGAACTAAAGATGACCAATTTTACATATAAAAAACCAGTCACATCAAGGTGTTGTATTTTTTTTGTACACTTCAGATAACCATTAAGACGTCACAAGATCAAAAATGCCGTCAATATATACATATGAAAAACAGCCTCACGAGTTACACATATCCTAAGAGTCGCCCGCGCTGCGCAGTAGTCTAAAGTAGCGAAGTAAGGAGTTAATCCTTACGTCGCAGCTTCGAATTCCACTGTGGGACGTGGAGACCGGTCCTTCAGATGACACAGTTTTAACCGAGGTCCCGTCTCGCAGTAGGTGCTTGCACGAAAAAGATTCCTCCATGCTCAATGGCCAAGACTACCAATTATAGGACAAAATTTGCAGTTCTCCACCGGCAAGTGGTGGCGTCTCCATATGAGTGAAAAAATTCTCGAGAGGGACGTTAAACAATATAAAATCAATTAATTAATCACATGTAAGCTATGACGTTACGTATATACTCGCGTATTAGTCGGCTGTATTTTTAACGGTATTTTGTGGAACTTGCTATTGATCCGCTCACATATATATAAGTTGGTTCAATTTTTGGCCAAAACTTGGTTACAATTTCAAGCAAATCCATTGATATTTCATCCTGGTTTCAATTTTTCGAAATCACATTGATATTGAATCTTAAATTATTAAACAAAAAGCCAATTCTCACTTAAAATTTAAATAAAATTATTCAAATATATATATATACTTTTACTTTATATATATATATATTAAACCTTTGTGAATTCCAATAATCTGATTGGTCAAAACAAAGTAATTATTTTTAATAACTACCGCTGAAAGTGAATTATGACTCGCATGAGCTGCCTCGTTTTCACTTTCGCTTCAGACAAACAAGTTCGCAAGTTTGTAAGTTGTAGGTGAGGATAAGATGTAGTGAAGAACTCTGAGGTTGAGTATTTCTGTGAAGCTTTTTTCGGAAATACTTAGCACATACCATTTCATGGTTTAATTCGACTTTTCCACTCGGCGAACAGAGTTTTGATGCTGTTTACGCGATTACGGAGACTAAAGAAACTAAAAACGAGTGTGTCATGTATGATTGTATCTTATCGTAGAAAACTAGCATAGGTATTTGTATTTTGTCAGTGCATATAATTTTTTCTGCAAGTGTAAACGTGTGCGATTCTTAATCTGGGGGTGGGGGTACCCTGTGTTAGATATCTTGCGTTATTATTATGCTATAGGTTTACATTTATTATCGAAAAAGTTCCTCTGAATAATATTCAATAAAATCTGAAACATATACATTCAACTTATTTATGGTCAATACTATCTCTGTAAACATTAGGAATATATATATTGTAATAATAAATTTGGGAAATTGTTATTTATATTTATAATATAATAAATATGGACTCAAATGCATGGTCAATACGCATTTGCATGGTCAATACACATTTATAATGACTCAGGGGGGAGATATTGACCAAAGATACATGGAGTACATTGACCGAGGGCCCTAGCTAGCGCCCTCGGTCAATAAACTACATGTACTTCGGTCAATATCTGTTACCCTAGGTCATTATAAATGCATATATTGACCTTCATTGAGTCCATATTTGTATAATAATCTAAGAACACATAAAGTATAAATACCCAGACATTTTTTTCGATAAACATCGGAAATGCAAATAAGATACTACATTTCAGCCTCCAGAAAGAAACATTAATCTTTATTTTGGCCTCCCCTTTAAGTTGGACATAGAGTTTCAGACAAATAATCAACACCCAAAATACCGACTAATAGCTGTAGGCAAGTATATACGGTAATAGTTCAAAGAAGTTTAAAGTCTATATCACAAGGTAAAAAAAAAATCTTAGAAGAAAAGGAATAGCACAGTTTTCAAACTTCATTTAACATGTTAATTGAAATTTTCTTTTTCTTTTATGTACCCGTGTCCGGTTTTCATATAAGTATAACTTAAATAAAAAAGGGAATCCCAATAGTGCAACCAAAAAATTGATAAAGAAAAACGAAATTATTAAATAAAGAAAAACGAAATTATTAAATAAAGAAATACGAAATTATTAAATAAAGAAAAATAAAATTATTAAATAAAGAAAAATGATATTATTAAATAAAGAAAAACGAAATTTTGAAAATTCGAAATTATTAAATAAATCATTTCATTTTTCTTTCTATATTAATTTCATTTATCTTCATATATTAAATTCGTTTTTCTTTAGGTATTATATTTTGTTTTTTTTTTATATATTAATTTCGTTTTTCTTTATTATACTTTTTTTCTTTATTTAATGAATTCGTTTTCTACTTTTGATACTTTTTTCTTTATATATAAATTTTGTTTTTCTTTATTTCATAATTTCGTTTTTTAAGTAGAAATATGGAATTTATAGATTTGCATGGTAAGGGCCTGAATACGAAAGCCCAGAAGGCTCATTCGGGATTCGAGAATCGAAGATCCAGATTCTGAATTCGAGATTCGAAATTCGTATTTCGAGATTCAAGTTCTAAACTTACAGATCAAAAGGCGGTTTAAATTTCAATTACTCCCCTTTGTTAAGTTTTTACCATTAAGAAATCATTGAATTTATTTATACCGATGAGCTCATTTGATTCAGTTATATATATATATATATATTTCAAAATTTATAATGGATCATAATTCATATGTTTAAATATCCCTGCTATATTATTTTTCTTTGATGATTCTTTATTAAGTAAAGTTATGCCATTTTGAGAGAATGAAACAATGTACGATTTACTGATTATCGTAATTAATTAGCATGATTAATTCGTTCAATTATCACAAAACTATTTATTGTTTACGCTTTTGTTAATTTTTTTTTTTTTCCCGGTAATAAATCCTTAAATATTTCAAAATTTATAATGGATCATAATTCATATGTTTAAATATCACTGCTATATTATTTTTCTTTGATTATTCTTTATTAAGTAAAGTTACGCCATTTTGAGATAATGAAACAATGTACGATTTACTGATTATCGTAATTAATTAGCATAATTGATTCGTTCAATTATGTAAATCGCACTTCACCCGAGTATACCCGATAGACCTGACGCATTTCACAGCGGTCCGGATTTCTTTCTTTATTAGTGTTCTTAATATTTCCAATTCAACATGTAATTATGTAAATATCTAGTGTTTAGTAGTTTAGTAGTAGTGCTAGGTCCTTTTGTTTCTCTTTTTCCTTTGTTTTTATGACTTTTTAACTTTTTTCTTTGTCCTGAGGAAGGGACAGGGCGTCCCGAAAATTTGACAATTTTTATTGTTCGTGTCGTTGGTCATTTTAGTGCTTTATATATATATATATATATATATATATATATATATATATATATATATATATATATATATATATATATATATATATATATATATATATTTAAGAAAAATATCATCTTTTTTGTCTATAAGTCGGAGAGTTTAAGGCCAGGGCATCAACAATAGTGGGAAACATGGGATAATTTGCATAACAAGCGAAGCCCGTTATGATAAAATTACCCCATGTTTCCCATATTATTGATGCCCCTGAAATCATATATGTCCTAAAATAGACATTGATTCCTTATATTTTCATTTCATTGTGAAATAAAATTGTAGATTTTGGCTTTAAAAATGTAGACATAGACTTAAATTACACGAGGACTTCCATGCCATATATATATATATATATATATATATATATATATATATATATATATATATATATATATATATATATATATGTTACAGTAAATATGTGAAATCAGGAATTTCATGTATTTCCTAATACATACAGCTAGGAAATTCGTGTATTTACTGAAAATTTTTGAGAATTTTACACGTTTTTACTGCACAAGGCAGAATGAATAATATATGCATATCCTCTTAAACATTCAGTAAACATACAGATTTTTTTTTTTTTAATCAGCATTTGATAAGATTTGTTTCTACAAAGCTGACGTTGTGCATTAATTTTGATTTCCTTTATTGTGTTTCTTATATAAAATGAAGTTTCTAATATTCAGATTTCAAAAATATTTCTAAAGAAGCTATAAATTTAGATCATTTAGCATCAGAATAATGTATTTGAAATCGTTTTCAAATAATTTTTATTATAACATTCATTTAAAAAATGTACGAATTGTAAATGGTGATATAAGGGGTACTTCTTTTTATTCGAGTCTCACATCTTTAAAATTATGGTAAAATAGATATGTTTTGCAATTTTCAGTTAATTCAAACTCCATTTGTTTTGTTTTTATTTTGAATTATTAAAATTGTTAGGGTGGAAAATTCCTCAAAGTTAAATTTTAATTCCTGACTTTAATTTCGTTACATTATGTGTATTTTACAAGGGGAGGGAGTGGTTTGTTACATTTTTGAGGAGACAGCATAAAAATTGTTTTATTTGTAAATAAGATGCTTCAGGGTTTTAAATTTACTGTCAAAAACTGTAGCATTGTATAAATATCTAATAAAATAAGAAATGCCAGTAAGCGATTTTAGTTTTTTAGATAAACATATATAGAAGTAATTGAAAGTCAGTTAAAGTATGTTGTGATATAGAAAACACATTCCAGTAAAAATGAAAGCAGGGTATAATTATATTTAAGTTAATGTTTACAAATAATACATTTTCAAATTTTATACATAAATAAAAGTTTATTTCAAATATTATTTATTCACATAATTGGTATGCTCACTGACATAAACATTGATTATACTGTGCATCTATTCATATTTTATGATTCAAATTTTAAATTATCCCACGAAAACGCAGTCAGTAAATATGTGTAAAAAGTATTGAAAAGTTCAGTAATTACGTGTATTTCCTAACTGAAATTAGTAAATACGTGTGTTCCCTAAGCAGAATAGTAATTGCATGTATTTCCTAAAATTCAGGAAATACGTGAAATTCCTGGTTACACATATTTACTGTAACATATATATATATTTCCTCATGATCCTGTCTTGCTGGAATGTTCATGGCGTTTTCACCTGCCTGTCAGAGCTATCTGATTTAACTAAATTTGCAGATATCGTTTTTATATCGGAACATTGGCTACCGAAAACTGTTTATCATGTTTACATACATCAATGCCAGATAATATTACAAGCTTAGCAACACCGGGAACAACCAAAAATAACATCACTAGAGGAGGAACTGCATTTTTGATTCGAAATAACAGTGACTTTTCTGTAAAGGATGTTCAGACAACGAATGAAAGAATAATGGGAATTGAAATTACCTACGGATCGAATCAACTATTTATTATAGGATGTCTCCTTCCCTCAACAAACCATCATTATGAGGAATATAAACGTGTGATGCAGGATTTATTCGACTTGTTTGATGAACTTAGTGAAACTGGTCCTGTAATTTTTTGTGGTGATTTTAATACAGATATTAAAAATAAAACTGGCAGTCCAAAATCAAAGCTGCTCACGGAAAATACGCTAGACAGAAACCTTTGCAGTATATTTTCGACTGGTAACCAAATTGAACATACATTTCAAACAAAGGATAAGAAAATTGAAGGGATTGAAGTCATTCCGCCCTAATGGTATTAACAAACTAAATGACTTCACCAGAATGAACGTAAACTAGACCCAATTCCTGATGATACTAAACAAGATTATTCTCTCAATTTAGTGTAAACTCTACAGTCAATCTGCGTCACCAACTCTCGAACAACCCACATAGCTATGTATTGCTTTCGCCTTTGTTAATTATTTTTTCCCGGTAAAAAGTCTTTAAATATTTCAAAATTTATAATGGATCATAATTCATATGTTTAAATATCCCTGCCATCTTATTTTTCTTTGATTATTCTTTATTAAGTAAAGTTACGCCATTTTGAGAGAATGAAACAATGTACGATTTACTGATTGTCGTAATTAATTAGCATAATTAATTCGTTCAATTATGTAAATCGCACTTCACCCGAGTATACCAGATAGACCGGACGCATTTCATAGCGGTCCGGATTTCTTTCTTTATTATTGTTCTTAACAATTTCGAATTCAACATGTAATTTATTAAGCATGTAAATATCTAGTGTTTAGTAGCTTAGTAGTAGTGCTAGTTGTTTTTGTTTCTATTTTTCCTTTGTTCTTATGACTTTTTAACTTTTTTCTTTGTCCTGAGGAAGGGACAGGGCGTCCCGAAAATTTGACAATTTTTATTGTTCGTGTCGTTGGTCATTTCTTAGTGCTTTATATAAATTTCCAGCCATGACCTTGTATCTACTTGGTAGATCCGACATTTAGGATATACAGTGTTGTTGGTTTTTTAGTGCTTTATATATATATATATATATATATATATATATATATATATATATATATATATATATATATATATATATATTAAAAAAAGGTAAGAAAGAAAACACAAAAATCCTCAGTTAAGCTTATATATATATATATATATATGTTTTCTTTTTATGCAATTTTTGTTGTAAATTTGTTAATTATCTGTTAATTCATACAAACTCTCCATAAATTTGGAGGAAATAAAGAATATCTTATCTTATCTTATCTTATATACTTTGTTTACAGGATTGATGTCAGAATAATAATCTTAATTAAAAGTGCCAAGTGTCTCTGGATTAACAATAACCCCACCCCAATCCCGCCCATTTTTCCATTCATAATGAGAATGTTCATTGAAAGGTCGGTTGCCACCTTCTACCTTATGGTGCAGTATAGTCAGAGAAGGGTTAGTGGTAGTGAATGAAAAGAAATTAGGTACTGAATGGAGTTCGAAATCCTCCTCCCCTTCCACGCCTCGAAATAAGATTTTTGGGTTTGGACGGTGTTTCCTTTTTCGTTTGTCAGGTTTTTAAGGCTTAAAAAATATTAATCTCTGTCTGCCCCTTAAAAAATCGATGATACGTCTCTGTGATACTTTATAATACTGGTTTCTCAGTAGATAGAGTTTGTGACATGGTATTTGAAAGTGGTCAGTGACCAAGATTGTGAAACCAATAGAAAAAATTCAGCCCCCTCAATATGTAAAGATAAGGATCTTTTTTTATTCAGGCCCATAGGAAATAATAAGGAATGATATGGCAATCGCTAAGAAAAATTTGTAATCGGTGAGCCGGGAAAAAAATTCAATGCAATTTTCTTTAAAATTATTGAAAAAAAATCGATGCACTGGTGGACTAAAATATACTAGTGAAACCAGACCAGACATGGATCCTGGATTTTTTTCCAGAGGTGGGGGGTGGGGGGGGGGAGGGTGGGGTGGGGTGGGGGGTTCCTACCCAGTCATAAATAATCCAACCCAGAAATTTCTTGACAAACCAAAATAAAAAGAAAAAAAAATAAATATTAAAAAAACGTAGACTCAGCAATCAATTAAGCATTGAATAATCAGTTTTTCAAAGATACAGTCTCATAACTGCAATGGTGTGTGCAAACAAACTGAGTAACGAGAATCTTTAAAAAAATGATAATTCAATTCTTATATTTCCATTTTTTTAGCCCCTGCATTTTCAGCAGTTTTGATTTTTTTAATTAAAATTCCCGCCTTATCCGTCATGTAAGTTGCAATTGATAGAAAGCTTTTTGAACACCTTAATCCAAACTTCCCGCCAGAGTTCGTTTGCTCATAAACAAAAATAGTGAATAATAAACAGAGATCAAAAAAAAAAAAGTTTTCTTTATTTTTATGCGCCGGGATCGAAAGATCCGAGGCGTATATTGTTTTTGTCCTGTCTGTCTGTCTGTCTGTCTGTTTGTCTGCAAACTTTAACCTTCGCCATAACTTTTGAACCATGAATGATAGAGAGTTCATATTTTGTATGCCTACTCCACTAATGAAGCTCTTTCAAATGACACCAAGGTCAATGACCTTGTTACCTTGACTGTAACCTATATGCTAAAAATAGAGGTTTTATTGCAAACTTTAACCTTTGCCATAACTTTTGAACCATAAAAGATAGAGACTTAATGTTTGGCATGCGTACTCCACTAATGAATTCCTTTTACATGACACCAAGGTCAATGGCCTTTTGACCTTGACTGTGTCTTATATGCTAAAAATAGCTTTTTTGAACATTCACCATAACGTTTGAACCATAAAAGATAGAGAGTTAATATTTGGCATGCATACTCCACTAATGAAGCCCTTCCACATGGCACCAAGGTCAATGACCTTGTGACCTTGTCTGTGTCTTATATGCTAAAAATAGCTTTTTTGAACATTCATCATAACTTTTGAACCATGAAAGATAGAGACTTCATATTTGGTACGCATACTTCACTAATGAAGATCTTTCAAATCACATCAAGATCAATGACCTTGTGGCCTTCACTGTGACCTTTATGCTAAAAATATGTTTTTTTTAATTTGTTGCCGCCGGGCGCATAGTGTTTCACAAACACATCTTGTTCAATCTAAAATGATAAACTATATTTTTGCAACAAAGAAATACAAATGAATAGTATAAAAACAATTTTTTTTCGCTTTGTTTAAACTGTTATGGCGTGGTCCCTGTATCCATACGCCAGACAGACCTCGGTGATTTGGTCTTGTGTGTTATGTGTATTTATCACGTGTAATTTTATAATGCTTTTTATTAGGGTCAAACAAAGTAAAAGTAAATATGTCTCACTTCAAATGAATTTTATTTCGTTATATAAAACATTTTTTCTTGCATTATCATTTTAGCAAATGACTAATTTAGTATCAATACACTCGACGATTTCTTAGTAAATGTATTAAAAACATAATAAAGTGGTGTACTAGTAATCAAATGTTGAACCCGCTTTTGATTGGTTAGATTTGATCTTGAATTTCGAAACTCGAATCTCTAATGAGCCCTATGGTCTTTTGTACCTGAACTCATTAATCATTAGCAAACGCGTCTGATAGATCAGATTTTGTTTCGACAATAAACAAGTGTGATGTTTGCCTTTACACTCACCTACTCCCATATCGAATACATACCCTGGTAACTATTACAATAAATGAATGGGGGGATTTTACCTTTGGTATCTAACAGTAATATGATTAGTTTTATGATTTATCTTACATTAACATGATTAATGTGAACTTTAACCAGTCTGATAATTTGGCCAGTAATGCGAAGAGATGTTGACGTTATAAATTGGTAAACATTATAGCTTTCTTAAACTCTCTGCTCGAAAAGTTAAATGATCGGCAAATAATGAATATGGACATGAAACTTTAATGAGATTAACCACAAATTGGATATACATGAATGTTAAGATTCTGTTGTTTATCAAATGCACTGTTGATTTTTTAACATTTAGGAAATTCCCATGGCATTGGCTCATTATTAATTATCACACAATACATGTCATGCATAAGAAAATGTTGTAAAATAATCTTTTACCGATCGGACTTCCTGAGTTTGTTTGATATTATAAAAACTGTTTATAGAAAAACAAGTTCAAAAATTAAAACAAGTCAAAATGGTTAAAATAAGTAAATTTAATGATTACCAACTATATTAGAAATAAAGCAAAACACTTCTGATTTCTTGGACCTTTTATTAAAGAATAATGAGAAGCTATGTAATGGCTACTAGGACTTGTTCTCACGTATTATAAATGTCAAACTCTCAATCTTTGCTATTTATAAGTCAGGGGTACTGACTACTATAGTATTAATTCTCAAATAATCTATATCTATGTATTGATAAGTCTGTGATATTTGTGAACAAACGATGCACACACTTGCACATAACAAATCCCACAAAGTAATCAAATCATTTGTCTCTTTATAGTTTTAACAACCTAAGATTTATGGGTACACAGATAGGTTGCTAGGTTAAGTTCAGGGAATCTAGTATAACGATACATAAGGTCTTGACCTTCGAGCAGTTTATGACCTCTATTGAATGTCTGTATTTTAGTTTCAGCTAATTCCATTTATATATTTCGTATTTTTTTCTTTATTTAATAATTTCTGTTTTCTTTATATAATAATTTCGTTTTTCTTTATTTAATAATTTCGTTTTTCTTTATTTAATAATATGGTTATTCTTTATTTAACAATTTCGATATTCTTTTTTTATTTTTTGGTTTGCACTAATAGGCTTCTGTACTACACGGGTTAAAATGTAAGCGCTTTCATTATTGTCTAATATATACTTTTTCTTGACTGCAATGTCTTACAAAACTATGAATACTTTAAAAATCATAGTACTCATGAGTACAGAGAGAGAGGCATATTTAAAGAACAGTGACCAGTACCGTTTTACATAAATAGAAATAAGTTCAGAAATAATATTTTGCGATAAATTATTGAATGGGTTTATTTTTTTTTAACACTGGAAGACCAGTTTTTTCTAACATCTCAGTATAACAATGTTTAACCTAAGTGTCAGGATATCGCTTTACCCTTCCCACATTTGATTTGAACATGTTGAACTGGAACAGAAAGGATATGGATATAACGAACAGTATTTAATCTCAAAGTCGATAAAACTATACAAAATAAGAGTAGAGCAAACACGGACCTCCAGAACATTAGAGGTGGGATCAGGTGCCAGGGAGGAGTGAGCATCCCCTGCCGACCGGTCACACCCGCCGTGTTGTCATGATCAGGAAATAACGGAAAAAATCCGTCGTCAATTCTATTCAGTGTATAAATAATGGACTAACAATTAGTACTAAAAACGTCAGTCAGCATTTGACTCAATGATAAATTGTATTCGCTGACAAGGTCAATGTAGCGACCATAGAACTTACGATATGATGACTAAACATTCTCCAAATTAATTTGTTCGACATTTTCAGTTTGCAGTTCGCAAAAAATATTTTCATCTGTGATTACATGGATTTCAGCGCTATAAAAATAAAAGCATGTATATTTATTTTGCGAGTGGTGCTTCTCGCAAAATTACACGATAATTAATTCCACGCGTATATTTAGGAATTTACATAAGATGTATTACTTTTTAAGAAATTCGTTAGTTTGGTAAGATCACTGGATCTTATAAAAACAACAAAATTAGAAAGAAAAATATTACTGTGATAGCAACTTAGATAAAGGATTTTTCCTCAATTCTAATCTAAATTTATTCAACCATCTAAATCATCAGTTTATTGGTTCAACTTTATTTGTTCACACACAACAAAAGGGACACCCTACACACACCCTACACACACTTACACAACAATTTACACACACACACACACACACACACACACGCACACGCACACGCACACACACACACACACACACACACACACACACACACACACACACACACACACTCACACACACACACACACACTTCCCCCTCACAAACACACTTACACAAACATACAATTAAGTAATCGTCTCGTTTTTTTTAATACAAATCGATTTAAGCTGACCAACATCTCATGGAGAAAATATTCCATTCTATATACAGCTTTTGATAACAGACTGGCCAAAATTTCTAACATGGTTTCATCAATTCAAAGTAAACTCAACAGTCAGCAAAGTACTATGAACGGATTCCAAACGAAGCAAAGTTCGATTGAGAGGAAAGTAGATCGTAAGTAGAAAGAAATTAAGAGAGACATATTTTAGCCCTTGAAGTAATTATTGATAATACCAAACGCTATCAAATATATTTTGCGTGAATAAACTAAAAATTTTCATTAATTTAAAAACAAATGCTCATAAGACTTCTGATGTTTCATTTTTTTTTTAAAGTCTGAATGCCTGTAGTTTACTTTGAAAAGTTTGATATCCTTTTATTTTGATTTTCTTAAAATTGTGTGTGTTTTTCTTTCATGCAACCATGTAGTTTTGGTTAGTTATCAACAAACCTTGTCTTTTTCAGGAGGCATTGCTTTCACCACTCAACTCGATTTGAATAAATCCCTATATACTCTAAAAAAGAATGAAAAAATTGTTTTTGGTCATGTAATCTCCAATCATGGAAATGCTTACGACAGAAAATCTGGAATATTTACTTCTCCGAAGAGTGGGATATATGGATTTTATTATAATATCCACACACTAATTGACAAATTTGCTTTGGTAGAATTGACTAGTAATGGTGACAAAATCCACTCCCTTGCATATGCTGGAAGTCATTCTTCTGCACCAACAGATGGCAGCACCTTTGTGGTTCTATATCTTTCGAAAGGTGAAAGGGTCTGGTTAAGAGCAGGTAGAGATTGCTCAATAGGGGAAACAATGAAATATCAAGAAAATACCTTTTCTGGGTTTCTTATTCATTCCTATTAGTTTGTTTTCTTAAGTTATTCTGTCTTTGCTATTTAAGTTTAATTTATTTATACTGTATGCGTTAGCAAAATAAAAAGCACTCATTGTTCACTTGTTTTGTGTGCCGAGTAAATGTCTAAGTTTAAAGCCCTTCACAGGGCTAGTGAAAATCAATTATTATTAACGAGAACTTCTATTCGCGATTTTTGGTTCAGAAACCATCCGCGACTTCTTATTTTTGCGACAAAAGTAGCATTCTACAGTACATAAAGATTTTCGAAAAAAAAATGGCTCGCGAAAAGAAAAAAAAAATCGTCATTTAAAGAAAGACTCATGCTTAAGGAAGGCCCATACATTTACGGATCCTGTTTTATTTTAAACACCAATTACAAAATTCTTGTTATCATCTGCCTTAAGAAAAGAATTTTTTAAAGTTGTTTTATAATACAGCAAGTACAGTATACCGACTGGACACAACATAACAGAAAGTGAACCCAAAGTACAGCCCGGGTTCGCTTCTGGTGCGCTCGGGGTCCGCTAGGGCTTATCCAGTGGCGTTGGTAGTTTAGTGGTTAAGGTGCAGGACTCCTAACCGAAAGGTTTTGAGTTCGAATTCTTGCTGCGGCAAGTCGACGTTGGGTCCTTTGGAAAGGCACTTTACACGAATATCCTCACTCTACCCAAGTGTAAAAGGGGTACCTGGCTATAGACAGTGAAAGATATTGTAAGAATGTTAGTGTTCTAGCGCCTTAACGGCTGCTTGCACTGAGACAGATTCTGGAGTGTTATGGTCTGCTGGGGGTAATACATCGTCGGAAACCCACGGGTGATCTCGTCCTTACTTATCACCCGTGGGCAAACTCGCCAAAACATCGCGGTAAAATATGCTAATTTGTTGTTTTTAGTCAACCAATCAGAAAGTTGGAACTCTTCAATTTTGAAAAATACGTTTATTACTTTGCTATTTATGGTAAATATTTTGACACTCGTTAAAACGTGCGAAGTTTGATTTAAAACAATGAAAATCAATTCGTACAGGTCACTGACATTAATATCCGTCAGATATTATGAAGGATATACCTCTTTCTCACTGCAAAATGCACTGGTGAGTTGATTTATCAGCTGTGTTAACTACGGAAGGAGTTTTTCATGTTTTTGGCAATGCCGAACTTGCATACGTAACGTAAAATGTGGTTCGTTGTTACGCATCGCGACTCTGTAATGCGGCCAATCAAATGACCAATGCATATTAAATTACATACGATGATTTTTCGGCGCGTTTGCCCACGGGTGATAAGTAAAGACGAGATCACCCGTGGGTTTCCGACGATGGGGGTAATAATGATTGTAAAGCGCTTTGAGTAGCATTTATGCTAGAAAGCGATATATAAATCTAATAATTATTATTATTACAATTGTTATTAGAAAAAGAGGAAAAAAGAAAACTGACTGGTTGCTCCTTCCTCCTAAGCAAATATATCATAAGACAAACAACTTAACTTAAACTATCGCATTCCAAGACATTTTCTTGGAATCGTATCAACATTTAACATTATTTTTTATTAATAGAGTTAACATCTGATACCTCTCTGAGCACATTATAGGAAATTATTTTACTTTCTTATTTTTATGCATTTTTGTTACAATTAATTATATAAAACAATCTTTTTAACATGTAAACGCTTATTATTGGGATATCAAATTTAACAGTCATGTAAAATACTAAACATCTTGGGCTATGCAGGCAATTAGAAATTTTATGTCTGTGTACGTATGTATAACACTCATAGCTACAATGAGCAGAGTGCAAAGTCTTCATTTCCATAAATAATGTATACTTAATGTCTTATATGCTCAGTGACACTAAAATAAACAATTATATACAGTACCGACCTGACACAACCTAACACCAGAGCGAAACCAAAGGTAATCTAAGTTCGCTTCCTGGTTTTCCTTGTGGTTCGCTTTGGGTCCGCTTTCAGAAATTTTGGGACCGCTCTGGGTACACCTTGGATGACTTTTGGATCGCTCCGGGATCAGCTCTTGGTCCGCTTGAGCGAATCCGGTGTTCGCTTCCCGGTTTCGCTTTGAAACTATCGGTTCATGTACACTGCACATGTATTATGTATAAAGAGACAAAATGGGGAACGTCAACAAATTTTCTGGAATTCCACTGCTCATTCAATGTCCATGTATAGCAGATGCCGTGTTACTTGGTTTCACAGCGCTCGGAATATTATCCTGAGAAATTGCAAGTTATTTCACAGCAGGCTATTTGGCATTTATTTATCTTAACTTATAACGTGAAAAATATGAAAGAGTAAGAAATGTGCTGATTTTTTTCATTGTATCAGATGGAGTTCTAGTGAAATTGACGAGAACATTTAAACAAAACATCTTTCAAATTCATGCATTAAATAGTTTTATTTATTTGATATTCCAGTTGTTTTGCTAAATAATAGTTTTAAATGTTTGATAGACAAACAAGTGATTTATGATATTATCTGCAAATAAGCTGAGACATATTGCATAAATGTTAAGTTATGTTTTCATATAGCTTCACATAAATGTTCATAATACATATTTACCTCACAATTTATATAAAAAGAAAACAATTTGTTTAAAATCATATCTTTGTTACGCTCCGAAATTCTGATGTACAACTTTGTACAGCGACTATCAGAATTTCGGAGCGTAACAAATTAAGATCTGATTTTAATCAGACTGAAAAAAAAATGACAATACAAATAATAAATGTTCCCCCGATAAGAATAAATAAATATATTTGCTCATTTTATTTTCAAATAAATGATTGTGTTCTTTACTGCTTCATGACATCCCTCCCTTTTTTCACATACACACACATATAAATGAAATTAATTTGAAATGATTCTTTAACAAATATATTTCAAATTTTTGAACATGATTAAATACACGAAAAAAATCCAGAACAAAACAAAAATTCCAAAACTGTAAATTCTCATGATTAACTTGATTTTAATAATAACGCCCGATTATTTTTTAAGAAATTTCTATGAGTCTCCCCCTCCCCGTCTTGTACTCGAATGTTTTTTTTTATTGTGGCTGTAGCTGTTTTATTTTCAAATAATATATAGTACAGTGTACATTTAATTTTTTTCATGTTCAATTACGAAGATCAATAACTTTGATGTAGATTTTGTTAATTAAAAAAATATTTTTAAGTGCATTAGGAAATTATATTGTTGGAGGACAGAATAATGGTAATTAAAATTCAAACTATAATCTAAAGTAATCGGTGCAAATTTCGAAGAAGTTACAAATAATTATGGAGATATAAAGCTACAAGGATACCTCTGGTTTAAAATGAGCGGCCGGGCGGACACGGTTTAGTCGGAAAAGGATTGTGACTGTCTCTGCATACATTTTATGCAGATGAGATCATTTTGTAGAATTGCGCGTTTTTATAAAAAAATATTAAAATTTTCAGATGGCTCATTTTATTTATTGATTGATATATTTTATAAGTATTAAGGTTTATTATGATGTTTAGTATATTGTGTGAAATTATTTATTGTAATCATAAATAGAAAAAAAAATGATTTTTTAAATTAAATAAAAGTCGGAAACTTGATTTTATCTGTCTCTGCTTACATTTATAGTGGTTGGGAAACAGAGCTACTCCCTAACGCCTGTGGGCCGCTCTGGTGTGGAAAGGTCCTCAGACCTTGAAGGAAGTTGGAATTGTAATATTTCAGTGTCATTTCGTAAAAATAAAGAGCTGGGTCACTCCGACCAAGCTCAATGATGATAAGAATTATTCTACTCACTGGCATAACAAACGATCCCGGGTTATATGAATAAAAATAAAGTGTTTAATCTGATCAATGTGATTTGGGACTCTGCCATCTCAAACTTCAGTGGTTGAGGTATAGAGAAGTCAATTTAGGCTGGAGTCCAGAATAAGGTTGACTCGGTTATGATAAAAATATGTATTCTACCATGATAAAATATGTATTTTTGTTCAACTTATAATTTTAAATAATTTCAAAGAAAAAATGGCAGTTAATCCGTTTAGATTTTAAGAATTCGTCAAAATTAAGGTATTTTGTGATATTTTTCTGAAGGACCGGGGCAGTTTCATTGTCAGTCTGTTCATGTTTTCCAGTGAAAGGCTTCAAAAATTCTTTTAGAAAATCAATATTTTTTTGTTTTCATAATTTTTAATATGTTTATATAGAGGAAAATAAAATAAACCTGATTTAATACACGTTGATTTTGATATTGCCGATTGTTGGTACGTAGTGGCTTATTGAACAGCAGCAAGGGATTGCCAATCGTAAAGAGCGACACCAAATTACAACAAGAAGCAGCAGCAAACAACATGAAAGCATAATATTACACGTTCTTATAATGAGCATCATAATGGCCGTTACGCGTATACCGCAAACAACCCTAACTATTATATTCTATGTATTTTAAATAAACTTTACATGTATGTAATTAACGTTCCGCAAACTTTACTAAAACTATTTTAGCAAGCAAAGCAGTGCATGAAATTTGATAAAAATGTACATATTTTACACAGAAACCGAGAGAGCTTTGGACTGACGTAATAATCTCTCTCGGGTTTAATCATACATTCTCTATGCACTTCCGTTGCTTTTAAATAGGGAAATTTCAAACCGGAGTGGCATACCTTTCTCCCTTATAATGCATAGTGGGGTATTTTTTTGTAGAGCGATTGTTTTTGGGTTTTGACGATTTTTTCATATTGTACACATAATGAATAAGTGTAAGAAATATAATTTTTGAAAAAAATGTCCAATAAGCCCCGGGGTTGAATATCTGGTTGGGGTTGGGGGGCTAAGTGGGGGGTCCTGTCCACAAGTACCTGTGCTCCTAAATTGTACGACTCCTAGATAATAACATTAAACACACTGAAAATATTCTATTTGTTTTAAATGATATTTTAAATATGTAAAGTTATGAAAATTTGATAGGAATGCCACACCAACTTTTTATTTTATAGATCTCTGAGTCATCCTTTTTAAACAATTGTTTCAGCATTGAAAGACTGATATTAGCTCTTAATTGTTTTTTATGATTTTTTTTTTTTTGGTATTTTTTCAAAAGAAATTCAAAAAATTATTTATATCCAAATAAGATGCTTTCTTGTAAAAATTTTGCTGTAAATGAATACATCACATAAATACCTAATAAAATATGTAAAGAAAAGCCGTATAGATATTACTTATTTTTATTTTTAAAATATTTATGAAAATAAAACATAATTTGTAAATATTTCTTAAACTTGTGGTTAAAATGTTCTTTAAAAAAGTCACAACTGGGGAAAACATATTAATTTATCATATTTATAAAAGAAATTGAAACGAAATAGCCAAATTGTAGAGATTTTATTTTTGCCAATCCTGATCAAAATTCAACCGATCACAACTATAATTGTACATTTATTGGAAATAAATAACATTTCCCCAAGAACATTAGTCTGATTAGGTATTATAAGAGTTAAAACATTATTAAACTTGACAAAAAGTAGATTTCTTCAGTGTAAATTCACAAAGAGGCAAAAAATTAGCATTTTAATCATTTTGTATTAATTTTGATCGGGTTAGGTCCAAATATTAAAAAAAACATTTCACTCTCTTCAATTTCTTTAAAAATATAATTGACAGACATGTTGTCCTTAGTTGTGACTTGTATTTTGGTGCTTATAACCAAAACTTCTTCAAATCTGTTCATTTAAAATGTGTTTTATCGACGACGTATTGTCAATTAACAATGGATATTTCAGTTCCTACGTCGATATGATATATCCAGGAGACCTTGAGATAAAAGATACCACAGAGTCTGACACATCTGTTTCATACGTAGAAATTTTACTTAAAAAAGACGTTAATGGTAACCCAACAACCAAGTTAGATAATAAACGTGAAGATTTTAGCTTTTCTAGCGTCAGCTTCCCTAACTTATGCAGCAATATACATTAATCACCTGCATACGGAGTGTATATATCTCAGTTGATTCGATACGCAAAAGCATGCTATACCTATGAACAATTTCTAAAACAAGGTGAATTATTGACAAGCAAGTTGATGAAACAAGAATATCAACAGTCTCATTTAAAGTCATCATTTCGTAAGTTCTATGGTCAAGCAAATACAATTTATCATTGAGTCAATGTTGACTGTGTATTTTCTTACCAATTGTTAGTCCATTATTTATTCACTGAATTGACGACGGATTTTTTTACCGTTATTTCACGATCATGACAAGGAGCACACGGCGGATGTGACCGGTCAACAGGGGATGCTCACTCCTCCATGGCACCTGATCCACCTCTGATGTTTTCGAGGTCCGTGTTTGCTCTGCTACTATTATGTATTGTTTTATGGAAAACATTGTTTCATTGAAAATGTGATCAGAAGGAAGCACTTTCTTAATAAAGGCTTACACTGAACAAGATACCACCCAAAACGTACTGTTCAATAAATGTATATATCATTTTAAATTGTGTTCTACATGAAGCTTATGGCTGACATATAGAATTTTGCCGTTGACTCTGCACGAATGAGTTTAAATGGCATGAACCTGACACAGCTAGTTGAAACATTTGACAAATGCTTTAATATCAAATCAATTAATAACAGCTGTTTTGTATTTTCCTACAATTATTCCCTTACTGAAGTTGTTGGTGAAATTCCAATGGGTTGGATTTAGAATGTATCTACCACTGGATCTTATAACAAGGGTTTCCCCTTTTTGTTGAATATAGGATACGCAGATTTAATTTACTGTATGATTTATGTGTTTTGAATGAAATTTATAATCTAATATTATGTTTATAAAATTTAGATGTCTGATACATTAATGAAGATCAAAGAAAATTGCCATTGTGGAATACATCACCTTCAATTGGTCACATCTATGAATATTAAACAGGTGGGGCTAGAAAAATCAATTAAAAAATTAAAGTCATTTAAATAATTGCCTTCTGGTTTCATCAATAATAAATTACGTGTAGAAAAATATTGAAACAAAAATTTTGCCTTTATCCATAAATATATCCATACTACATGTATGACCTGGCCCCGGGATCATGAAACAGACTAAAACTTAAGTCAAAATTTCAATTATCTATAAAATCTTTAAAACTTGTTAAAGGAAACTCATAATTTGCCTTTTCATTTAGGGCTGCATGACCTCATTTTAGCATCTAAGGCATTTTTTGACTTAAGCTTAAGATGCTTCATGATCCCGGGGCCAGTTTATATTTATGTGTACTCAACTTAACTAAATACATACTTCCAAATCTGTTATATTCTACTGTCATCATGGCCTCATATGCAGCTCTCCCTAGCATTTTTAGTGGTACTCTCCTCTACTGAAAATGCTAACAAATTTATAAAGAAATTCCCAAAGAATTCATTATTTCCCACCTAAGAGTCAGACACTAATCGGCTTACCATAAAATTCCTTTTATTCCTCAAATATTGAATGAGTATGTTTTCCCCCTATTTATGTGTTATAAATTTGTATGTCTTAAGTAAATTTCAGTAATATTTTAAACCCTGGTGTTTTAGTATTCCCATCTTATGTAAATATTCCGTGAACGTTCCAAGCTCTCGCCAATAAAATAAAATTATCAAGAATAGCTTACATGAATATGAATTATTTCAAGTAAAACTACTTAAAGCAAAAAGGGCAAATGAATGTATAGCAGTAAATTGCTGATTTCCTAACGATATTCTAAATTTAGGTAAATTAACAGATTTTGAATCAAACTTTAGAGAATATGTCACATTAATCTAACAAAGTCTTATTGTAAAATCAAAAAGTGGGGGACACTTGGGGAAGGGAAGTATTTTTTTTCGTAATAGACATGGACATGGATTTTTCTCTTCATGATGCATTCAACACATTCCTATGCTGAACAACCTTCTGTCACAGAAATGTCTTCAAGACGAGAGGAGTTGAATCTTCTCAGAAACGTTCTGAAACGTCTCGGTGCTTTGGAGCAGCTTGAGAAAGATAACGCCAATAAAATGGAGAGCATCGAATGGAAACTTAATCTTATTAGCGAAAAAATGTCAAATTGAGAGGGTTTTTTTTACTTAATTGTTTTATTGAATTTCCGTTTACAATTGTCATGCGATACTTATGCAACAATTTGCTTTTTATAAAAAAAAAAATGAATATTTTTTTTTTTACATAGAATAATGAAATCCTATCGCACATTAGACATCTAACATTAAATGGAAAAGAATTCATAATTTTATATCCTGATCTAACCTCTTATGTTTCGGAGGTCTGTGTTTGTGCTGCTTCATTGTCTTTTCTTTAATAGACTCTTGAACTTGAATTCTATTCATAATCTTCATATATTTAATCCAAAGTTTTGTATACATATTGTCAATCTTTTTATAAAGATTTTATTCTTATCAAGAAAAGATAAATTTGCTACAAAAGTGTTAACTATTGTCAGAGTTAGTCAGTAAATAAATGTCAATTTCTTTGCTCTTCTACAATTGGCATTGAATAAAAAGAAGTTGATCGCCTTAAAAATAAATATATAAAATATAAATTTATAATTATATTGTCTTTTGATTAAGTAGAAAATTCAATTTTAGGGAATACAGTGGAGCCTCATTTATCCGGACGCTTTGGTTCCTTGTCAATTTGTCCGGATTTGTGAAGCGTCCGGATACCTGAATCACCAGTTAAATAAGACAAAGTAACATTAAATTCTGTCCCGATGAAAAATCGTCCGGATACTGAAGCATCCGGATATCTGGCGTCCGGATATCTGAAGGTCCACTGTACTTATTTACTATATTAGTCTTTCAATGAATAAAACAATCAATTTAAGCCATATTAATTTCTAATTAAATTTGTAAGTAAGAAGCCATGTTGTTGAGACATTTTACAAAGTGCAACTTGAAAAAAAGCAGTCAAAAGTATTATGTAAAGCTATTTAAGTCACCCGAAAAAAATTTTTTGCCATTGTTTTCGTCTTAGTTCTCCATAGTGTAGGCAAATTATGCAAACGAATTATTACATTTGTAAATGTTACACTTTTATTTGGCATAAATAAGCATTGGGATATCACATTTTAGGCTGTAGCGGTACTTCTGTACATCCCTCCACCCCGACATCAAAAAACACAACAAGAACATTTCCCAACACAACAGTAAAAATGAAATCAGCAAAAACAACAAAAACAGAATCTGCCACTCTCACCCCCCCTAATGAATCAACATCATCTATTCCTCAGTTACCAAGATCAATAGGTAACTTTTTAATATCTTTTAAATTTTATCGCAAAATAGATAATTGTACGCTCTTTTTATTTCAAATTCAATGTTGATATTTATTGTAGGTAGTAGAGGCAGAAAATTCTTATTTCTTTTCATGAAAAATCACCCAATTGCAAAAGGATCCCTAACAACATACATTACAACATACGGTAATGCGTCTGTTAATATCTCAACTTCAAGTGATCTTAATGCGTCCATTAAATTAGCAACTGACGTTATAACTAATGTCTCCTATTATTCCAATATCACACTACCCTACGATCGAGCTAAGCTGTGATTATTTATCGACTGAATCCAAGGCTGTGCTTGTGCAAACATCAGAACTATCCACCGTATCAATATTTGATAGTTTTTATGAGACAACCAACGATGGGACGCTGATTATTCCAACTGACAGATTGTCAACAAAATATCTTGTGTCGTCAACGAATCCATACGGATTAAGCGAATACTACCTCAGCCAGTTTGCTGTTGCAGCCTTATATGAAGAAACCAACGTTAATATTACATTTAAAATGAAAACCAGTACTTCAATATCTCTACTTCGTGGAACATACGAAGACCAGGATGTACTAACAACAACTTTAAATAAATATGAAACTTTACAAATTATGCATACTTCTGATCTTACTGGGACTTTTATTGAGTCCTCAAAACAAATAGCTTTGTTCTCAGGGAACCGATGTCAGCGGCTGAAAATCCGAGCATGTAGTCACATGGTTTCTCAGTTACCCCCGACTACCGAATTTGATAAACAATATATCATCCCCGCATTCTACGGAAAATTAGGGACATTATTTCAAATGATAAGAGAAAGCCAGAATTCTATTAAAATCAACGAAGGTAGGAATTCATCAACCTTGCATATGAATGAAAAAGAATTCATGAACATTGAGGTGACATCAGTGGAAACTACTACTGTAGAGTCAGATAACCCTGTACTTGTAACTGGTTTTGCAATGGGTTCCAGAAATAATGATCCTTATATGACCGTTATTCCAGGTGTCAATCAATATGTTGATTACTATAATGTAGTTGTACCAGACGGATATGTAAATAACTATATCTGTGTGATAATTCAACAAAAATATACAAATTACCTAAAAATAAATGATTCCTCTACAGATCATTATAAAACTGTGCGTCACAGCTCTCTATCATTCGAGACTACTTATAGCATTCGTACCTTTGAAGTAGACAGCGGGCCCATTGTTATATCGACAACTAATAACTCAACATTTGGATTAATAGTCTACGGTCATCGGGTATATGATGGATATGCATTCACCGGGAATTATTTACTCTCTTAAACTTTTCGACGATGAAGATTACTTCCTGGCAAATTTATTTCGTTAAATATAAATAATTCTATTCTAATATGAATAGTTTTTGTATCTAGTACAGTTTGAAAGACTGATTAATTTTTTTTTCTGCTACAATCCAACAAACGTAATCAAAACGACTTGACCTCTACTTGTCAGACAAGTAGAGGCAATGAAGCGGTAATGTAACCTTTTTGTAGCAGTAATGAGTATGTAACAGTAATGACAAGAATTTTATTATACTATATACTTATTAAGGCAGTTTAAATGCTTTTTTGATTGATATTCATTTATGACCAATTCATTGTATTACTTATGTAAATGTTTTCACTGTGTCACTTACAATGTGTAATGTAGAATACGCTTTTTTTTTTAGCTTAAATTGTCTTATATGTGAATACCTGATCATTATTGCATGTTTTACTAATCATGTCGGACAAAAACTGTATAAAGTTATATTTATAAATTATTTTCAAAGTGGGAAACAATGTGTTTTAAACATTAACGGCAGTTAAAGATGAAATCATAGAAATACATACTGTGGAGTCATCAATGTTCCTGGGGTATCGTGGGACACCCTTATCCACGAATTTACATCCCCAAAAACATTTATTTTGTCAACATATTTTTTATTGAATCTCCTGTATGTATGAGTTACCCACGAGTTCCTAGTACGAACAAAGAATGTTTCCACTTAAGCATAGTGCCGTGGCCCCTTTTTCGGACCCCTCTAACTTTATCTAGTTAACTCAAATGTTAATTATTTTACACCTAACTCATACTTTGTTATCTTTGTGGTATATTATTGCAAAAATCCACACTGAAAACGGCATCTTAGTTTTATAAATGGTAATTTTAAAAGCCATATACTTCATGTTAATTCCGGAATGTTGCGCATGTCCGAGTTGGGTTTTAATTGTGTCACATAAATATTCAGTGTGGGCGGGGCATTTCATCGATCGATTGAAAACATGTAATATTTAGCCAGTTATAATGGCTTTTGGAATTCGATACAAAATACAAACTGTATACAGCAAAATGAACACAAAGAAATTTTCAAGAATTAAATTTTTTTTACGAAAATGGTACTGGGGGAGGATCTTTGAGATGTATATGATCCCTATAAATCCAGATCCACCATCTTGTGGTCGTTTCTCGGTGGAAATTTAACACTAAATTAAATAAACCGAGCCTACTTGTATATGAAAACGGGGAAAACCATATTTAAGAAAAACTTCTATATTTTTAAAAAGGTTAGTGTCGTATTGCAATTTTAAACATCTCTCTCTCTCTCTCTCTCTCTCTCTCTCTCTCTCTCTCTCTCTCTCTCTCTCTCTCTCTCTCTCTATTCGTACTTTTTAAAGTACAGTAAATACTCCGTACTTCTCACAAATAATGGTGTAAGGAATATTTTTGTGATGCTGCATGTGGTGATATTTTATCACTAGAACAATTTTATTAATAAAATGTTTTTGGGTTTTTTTCTGTTTTTTTGTTTGTTTGCTTGTTTGTTTTTTTTTTGTTTTTTGTTTTTTGTTTTTGTTTTTTGTTTTTTTTTTTGGGGGGGGGGTACCAGTGAGAATCCATGCCAGTGTTAAACAATCTACATATTCTATCCCGTGTCCTTATATTTTTTACAATCAAAAATACTCTGAGGAATGATATGCTACTTCGAAGATGGGAGCTAAATCTTCGAAACTCGTTGAGCCTCTAATTAAACGTGCCCCTTAAATCCAAGGACTAAAAATAAAATATCGTTACATTTTTTTTCCAATTTATTATTCCGACACCCTATTAAAACACTTGACAAAAAAGAAATAATTCTATGTTGATTGATTGAAAATGTACATGTAAACGGTCTAAGTTGGACGCCTTTCGACGGAATCTACAACCACGTGGTTTATCGATTTTAGCCGGGCTTATTGCTCAAAGAGCAATTGCCGGCTTATGTGATCCTGTTCAAGGCAGGATGTTGACCCCATACTCGCCATTTTGAAGTTACGTGCAAAAATATGATTCTTACTCTCAACCGCTTTTGAGATAATACAAACGCTAAATAAAGCAACAAAATTAAAACGAAGTGTTATCTATATAAATAAACATAAGTAGTAATGACTTTGAAAACTTCATAAGTCAAAGAACATAGTTCATTAGCGTAAGGATTTTTGATAATCAGTGTTACCGTAGTTTTCTACACATACGAGGTAAAGCAGGAGAGGGAACCAGACTGTCCTGTTTGTTTACATTCAGCTGCGGTACCAGATTATTTCTGATTCTGACAAAATCGGACCATGGTATTAGGATTGAAAAACTCACTGTCAGTGTCTTATCATTTATATTGATAGATTTAAAGTAAGAAATCGATTCTACTCTGTAAATGAGCCCGGCTCTCTGTACTTCTGAGTACTTTGATTTGTATTCACAATGTTACCTGAGTCTACAAATCACGTGGTAAATTGGAATATTAAACAGGTAACAATGAGGTCAATGACATGTAAATACCCGTAAACAGTGAAGGAAACTGTCAGTGTTTTGTACTTTTTCAAAAAGTTTACCCCGAGCGCAGGCTTGCCCAAAATTCTCCCTTAAATATGTTGAATTTCCAAAAGTTCTACACCTCGCTCCGTGATCGGGAGGTCGTGAGTTCGTATCTCGGCCGCGACTGACCTAGTCGTTAAAATTGGGAGCAACTGTTCTTTCGCCATGCACTCGGCACTTTGAAGTGAAAGTTGCGAGTCCTTCAAATAAGACTTTAAGAACCGAGGCCCCCTGTCAGCGGCAGGCGTCGGCACGATAAAGATCCCTCTCTGCTCAATGGCCCTGAGTGCCAAGTAAAGGTCAAAATTTGAAGCCCTTCACCGGAATATGGTGACATCTCCATATGAGTGAAAAATTCTCGAGAGGGACGTTAAAAAATACACAATCAATCTTAAAATTTAAACATAAACATTTGAGAATTTTGCAATTATGTTTCTTAGGTTTGGTTTTGCATGAATCCGTTGAATTTCTCATATTCTGTAGTACTCCAATTTTGCCAATCTAAAACCCCCCTTTAGAAACTAGACAAAGTAATTTCATGTTTATTACTATCAATTTCCAATACTCATAATGTTTCTGCCTTTTAACATGTTTAAGACGGTCCCTAAAAATATATAAAACCCAGACGGTAGATTTTCCCTGAACTTGACATGTACACTGATGTCAATTAAAGTCACATAACTGTATAAAAAATGAAGAGATTCTATGATGTAGTTTTCACGAAATAAAAAACAAAGTTGGATCCCAAAACATGTAACTGATAAACATGTTCCTCTTTTTTGTTTTGGAAAAATTTAAATAACAAATGTTGCTTTCAATGAATACTGTCAAGATTTAAAAAAAAATGGATGTGTTTTTCTAGTTTTCTTATAGGTTTACGTTTGAACAATTGTTATTGCTTACATATGCATTTGGTTATGCATAGTTATTATTGATCAAGGAAAAATGTTCAGGCATAAATTACATAATTGTGTATTCCAGAAAACACAAATGGTGTGTTAATAGTTACCCCTATTATGAACCAAGTAATATTGTTTTTATGAATTCACATTTTCTTTTCTTTCTTCAAAATCCCCTGAGCTGAAAGCGCCAGTGAGCTTTTCTGATCTCGTGTTGTCTGTCCGTCCATCTGTCTGTCTGTCTGTCTGTGGCCAATGGCACTTTTGTCATGTAATCTTTATTATTAATAGTAAAATAATGATTGAAATGAAACTTAACCTAAATATTTACTGCGTATTTAAATACAGATTCATTTTTCCTTTATACTTTCTATTTCATTATAGTGTTTTACAGGTAGTCAACGCTGAGAATTTCTTTTTCTTTTAATGCATAATATGAATCATAAGGATCCTTGTCTATTTACTTTACAAATAACAAAGAGCCAAATGCCAACGTGTTAAAAAACACCTTCTTTCAAAGCAAATATTAAAACAGCAATTTACAGCAGACAACACTTTGCTGCCAACACAGAGATAAGTTTTCTTTATGAAATAATTTTTATATATATTTGACAGTTGAAGCAAAGACTGTAGTATTACAACCTTTGGAATTATATCAAAGTCCTTCTTTCAAAGCAAATATTAAAACAGCAATTTACAGCAGACAACACTTTGCTGCCAACACAGAGATAAGTTTTCTTTATGAAATAATTTTTATATATATTTGACAGTTGAAGCAAAGACTGTAGTATTACAACCTTTGGAATTATATCAAAGTTTGCTATATTTGAGAGACAATCCAAGAAACATTCCGGCGACTTAACATTTAATTTTTTCTAACAAACCCGTCTAGTGTTCAGTGAGTGATTATTATAAGAGTCAATTTGCTATTGGGACCATCTATGAGGGAACTAAAATCAATACTAAATAAAAAATTAGAGAAAAAATTCCAGTTACACTTTTTTGGGAAAACATATTCAAAAGGGGATATCTTCCAAATAATAGAGTTTATTTGCAACCTCTCAAGTGAACCCTATATCCGACCTGAATGGGACATACTATAACAGTATAGCAGTATTCTGTGGAAATATATGTCAACAGCTCAAAATGAATTAGTTCATGTATCTAATCTCAGTTCACCTACCATGGAATTAGATATATCCCCCGTTCTTTCATAATCCAAAAAAAAAATAATTCAGATATAAGGTGAAATCAGAGTTATGTCAGCTCTAGTGTTGGAACCATTACGACGAACTGAACCTTGGATGGAACAGAAGGATGGAACATTGAATTTGCATCAAATGAAAGGATAGTTTTACTCTCCCTGACAAGGTAGGAGTCTCCGGTTTCGGAATGGATTATAAACGTAACGATCCTTTTATGACGGTCATTCCTGGTGTTCATTAATATATCAATTACTAAAAGCTTATGATAAAGATACCAAACGGATTCAAATCAAATTAATCTTTTTTTGAATTGTAATTCAACGAAACAAAATAAATAATCTTTAAATAAATAATCGTTAACAAATACCAAATTGTGTACAAGAGCCTTGTATATGTAAGCGGATTTTATGTTGTCTGTATTTTTTTAGGTCTCGAATTATTTTTAACAACAATAGACGAAACAAATTTCAGAACAATTGTGTATCGCCATTATAGTATTGACAAATATGAATTCTCTGGAAACTTTTTCCCTAGACCTGTTTAAAGTGAATATTACTTTACAGCTAGATTTAAGTGAATTTTACATACTCTGACAGATCACGGCTTTTCTA